GCTGGGCTGTACTCACCCCGCAGGTCGCGGTGCCTCCTCCAGCGCGAGCCGCCGCAGGTGAACACCACGGCTCTGATGAAATCTCTCCCACAGAGCCTCACCTTGTCCCCTTCCCCTTCCCGGGCCAGCAGCAGCAGGGCAAGGCAGCCCAGCGCCAGCAGCGTGCCCCTCATGCTGCCAGCCTGCCAGGGCACGAGGGATCAGCTGGGGAATTCTGCTGGGCCTCCCCATTTATAGCGACGGTCCGTTCCCTGCGCTGGGCTACAGCTGGCTCTGAGGGTGGCAATGTTTGCTAAAAACAAATAAACTGCTTGTTTCTGCTCATCTTTGAAGTGCTTCGGGATCTCGGGGATGAAAGATTTCGGAAGTGTGCGTAGGTGCTTTATGGGAACGCCCGAGGTGTAGCAGGTTATGGGGTATGGCTGAGGTGGATGCAGGGAAGGTGTGTCCTGCCAGAACGAAAGGGGCTTGGTGATGGGATTTGTCCTCGGGGGGGTTGGTGGCTGTGTTCCCCACACAAACTGATGGCCAGGCCTGACCGGGCTCTTTTTGTGTCGGTGATCCCAAAGAAAAAGGGGGTGAGCTCCTTCCCGTGATGTCTGCGTCGTGCACCTCTCCATTGCCCTGCCTCGGTCACTGCCAACTGGGGAAACCCTGCCGGTGCCAGGCACTGCTGGGAAAATCCACCCAGAGGGGTTTGTGCCACGTGTTGGCATCCCAGCCAGGATTCCCAGTGTGCCAGAGACAGGAGCCTGCAGCACACGGAGCTGAGTCTGCTCTGGGAGCAGAGGTTGCTTCTGAGTTATTGGTTCCGAACGTTGGCTCCAGTGTATTTACGTTTCCATAAAAAAACCCTTGCAATAAAATGCCTCTAGGAGGAAATTTCTCAATTATATGGTCAGAAATTCCATTTTAAGGACAAAATACATGAGGAACTTTGGAGATCTTGAGTCCTTCCTGGCACCACAAGGATTTTCCAGCACCATAAAGTCACAGGTAATTGATTTTCACTGCGTGCAGGGTGGGTTATGATGTGTTACAGAAAGCTTGTTTTTTAGCAGTAAGCAAACAGCCATGGGCATGAATGGAAAACACAGGGCGTATTTTGGTTGGATTTACAATAATGATTAACAAATGATTCACCTTAACGAGTGTCTTTCCTTGAAACACACCAAGATGAATTTTATGTCGGGGGGAAGTTTGCGTGTCCCCTGTCAGATGTGCAGCACACAGAAGGAAGTGGATGTTAATGCAGCACAAATGATCCTTAATTCGGTGATGTGTTTGAGTGCTGGGTGTTTATTGTCAGGATAATGAGAGGCTGCATGTTCTGGATCTATAAAATACACGTTTCCATACGTAATGTGCTCAGCAGCTTGTGCTTAATCGCTCCTCTGGAGATGCTCCCTGTTTCCTGTGGGCAGGAAGTGCCTGGAAATCCTCCAGCTGGGTAATTTTTTTTCTGTTTCTTCTGCTCTGCCCCCCAAAAAAAGCCAGCCTAGGCAGCCAAACGCTGCCTGCTTTCAGCCCGAGGAGAAAAGACCTCGGGGAAAAAGGATAAAGGGATAAAGTCCCAAGGAGAAAAGACTGCAGAGACCTTTCCATGATCAGGATTTCAGAGAAGGGCCCCATCCATGAGCACTGGTGAGGAGACTTCCAGGAGGAAATCGAGGCCGTTTGAAAGAAGTTTCTAAGCAGTGTGGTTTCAAAGAGAAACTTTATTGATTAAAAAACATAACAAGTTTATGTTCTTACTACAGCAAGGGTTTCTGAAGGAGAAGGGATATCAGCTACTGTTAAACAGCACCAGCAGGAGCAACAATGTCACACAAGGAACCAACCTGGAAAACAAGAGGAAAACGAGCTGATTCTTCTGTGGAATTCTGTAAATGCTGGAAAAAAGCATTTTTTGGCAGGCCAGGTTGGGTTGCATTTGTGCTGTCATATTTGACAGCATGCAAACATTTATCTTGTTTATAAACGAAATTAATTTCCAGTGGTGTGGCAGCAGAAGAGCAGGAACCACCACCTTTTAAGCGGGTGCTGGAATTGTGATCCCACCTATTGCAGTATTCCCTAAGTGTGGGAACCCAGAGCATCCCTCTGGCTGCCCTGGGACCCTGGCAGGGCTCAGGAACCCCCTGGACAGAGCCCCCAGAGACACTGGCTGTGATCTCTGCCCATGGAAAAGAGTTTTCAATCTCACAGGATCAATTACCAGCTCTGAGGGTTTGATATAAGCAATAATTAAGTGTGGCACGGGTGCAAAAGTAAAATTTTAGGATTCTAGATGAGGGGTCCAAAGGGGACAAGATGGAGGAAATTGGGTGTGCCTTGTCCTTTTTCTCCTTCTTCATGCCCTCCATGTCTCACTGTGGTGTTGGCATTTTTCTGTTGGTTCAGGCTGGGGACACACTGTCCAACGGAGGTGACAGATATTGGCACGTTACTGTAAATCCAGCCCAGGGAGTTTCTGGTATTGAATGTTTGTCACATCCCACTGAGGGCAGAGCCCCACACGCTGCCCTGCAGGACAGAGCTGGGCAGGGCAGCAGAACATGTGAGAGATAAACAGAATAAACAACCTGGAAACCAGCACAGACCAATTATGGCTTCTGCTTTGGCAGCGGGGCTGACAGACAGAGACTTTTACCATCTCAGAATCATTTCAATATCACAGATTCTGACACCTGGGTGGGTGTTTCCCAGGATTGCCTTGCTCCCTGAGCACAGCCCTACCTGCTGGGCGTTGGGGACAGCCAGGCTGTGCAGCTGCCACACCCCCACCTGGCCACGGCTGTCCCCCAGCAGCAGGCACTCGGCGTTCCTGGCAAACAGGAGGCAGCTGAGCTTCCCTTCAGGGCTGGCAGCACAGGAGAGCACGGGCTGGAAGCTGCAAGCCAAGAGTTCATGGGTTCCATGCATTTATCAGCTGAAAGGCTGCACAGTTCATTTTCTAGGTTAGCTCAGGAATTGGGAAGTGAGGCAGCGCTTGGTTTGGGCTCTGCCAGGAGAAGAATCCCAGCTGCTGTTAACTAAGATAATCTGCTTGCCTAAAATCTTGTCCTGACCTGGAAAGTGGTGGTTAATATTTTTGTCAGATGAATAATTTGCAGGATGTGGCAGGGCTCTGGATCCACCAGGGCTTCACAGTGCCAGTAACACAAAACCCAGAGCAGCTGGACAAGGCCACAGGTAACTGTCATCTCAACTTCAGACCATCCAATCTTTACCAAAGTTGCTCAGGTTTGGTTTTATTCCTTCTAACTCTGCCACAATTTCTGCAGAAAAAGGGCAGATTTACACTTTATCAGCTCCATGAGGCACCCAGCTCCTTCTCTTTTCACCCCACATCTCTGGTGAGCACCATCTGCTTTTACACAACAGAATCACAGAATAACGAGGTTGGAAGAGACCTCTGAGATCATCAAGTCCAACCCATGCCCTGACACCACAACCAAACCATAGCACCAAGTGCCAAGTCCAGTCTTTTTTTAAACACATCCAGAGATGGTGATTCCACCTCCTCCCTAAGAAGACAATTCCACTATTTTATTATTCTTTCAGTGAAAAATTGTTTCCTAATATCCAACCTAAACCTTCCCTGCCGTAGCTTGAGACTGTGACAAATATTCCAAAATGCAACGGTTTGAGCGAGCCAATGTGGTGCTGTAACAATCTGATAAAAACACAGGTGAGGTAATTAATGTGACAATTATATTTCAGAGTCTTCCTTGAGAAGAGTCCTACTCACATGCTGACACTCAGATCCCAAATCTCCACCCTCTCCTCATTCACTGCTGCGAAGACCAGGGCAGATTGTGGAGCCCACTTGATGTCGTGAACAAAAGCTGTGACAGAAGTGAAGGTTAGCAGGGGCCTGTGGGAATCCTTGTGCCACAAAAGGATGCTCCAGTCTGCAGAGCAGCTCAGGAACACGTCTGTGCTCGAGGGATTCCAGGCAACTTTGTACACAGGACCCTGTGTGGAGAGAAACAAAACAGAACTTGGTGCTGCTGCGGAGCTACAGAATCTCTTCTAGAGCTACCCAGCCTTTCTCCCACAGGTGAGACTATTTAACTCTACAGGACAATCAGATTTCTGATTGCTGTCTTAAAATAAAGCCAGAGTTAAAGATTTAAAACAGTTTCTAGTACCAGTTTTAATAAATTACTTGAAAAAATCCTCACAGCATAGAAAGTAATCCTGTAAGACTGTGATGCTTTATGCTATGGGAATTAATTCCCAATATAAGAGAAGTAGTGTAGGTTTCTTTTATTGCAGGTGTTCACTAAATATAAGCAAAGATTACATTTCTGAGATGAGCAGTTCGTGCTGTCCTTGTTCACAGTGTCACTCACCTTATGGCCTCTGTATGTCCCCAGAATCTGCTCCTTGCCTGAGCAAGAGCAGCAGTAGATGTGGCCCTCTTCTGTCCCAGCAAGAAAAACATCAGAATCCTGAAAGAAAGGGAAAAGTAGCCTAGGCTGGATGAATTTATCACTCCTGCAGAAATCCTCCAGGGCTGGAGGAGTTCAGCTCCAAGGAGGAGCTCCTGTGAGTGGTGGGAAAGTGGAACCACAACGTTGAACATTTGCTGAGTGCGTTCTCCAACAATGCGCAACGTGCCGGGGTTTGACTCCTGAAAATCATGGATTTTCAGCAATCCATGTGGAAAATGAAAGAATTTTTTTCAAGAGCTTGGTGGAGGAAGGGCTCAGCTGGATGAAGAGAAGCTCAGCTGAGCTGAGTAGGAGGTGTTGGACAAATTCTGCCAGCCTTGGCCATCACACAGAGGGGAATTGCCCCAAGGCCTGCCCAAGGAAATGTGAGTAACGTGGATGGGAGTGATGCCTGAAGTTTGAGCTTTCCTATTTTCCAGACTCTGCACTGCATTGGTTTATAACTCTGAGCTTCATATAAAGTGTTAGCAGTTCAGTCAGACAGAACAATCCTTTTCCAGCCCAGAGCCAAGGAGACCACTGCAGCTTCAGGCCCAAAAAGTGCAAACAGCAGGGAATGGAGGAGAGCAGACTGGGAGGGTGGGGCTGCATCACCTGGAGCTGGAATTGAACAATTAACCCAAATAAATGGACCAAAACTTATAAAAGTATGAAACTCCTGACTCAGAGTCCATCTTGGTGTAGAGCCTTGGCCAGGCTCTTGCACTGCC